TTGTGTGATGTGGGAGGGCACAGCCCACTGTGGGTGGTGCCACCACCAGGCAGGTGGGCCTGTGTGTCATAAGAAAGCAGGCTGAGCAGGGGCTAGGGGAGCAAGTCAGTAAGCAGCGTTCCTCCATGGCCTGTGCTCTAGCTCCTATCTCCAGGTTCCTGCCCTGAGTTCCTACCTTGGGCTCCCTGATAAACTGTGATCCAGGAGATGTAAGACAAATAAACCCTTTCCTCCCCAAGTTAGTAGTGGTCAGAGTGTTTTGCCACAGCAATGGAAAAACAAACTAGGACAGACAGACAGACAGACAGACAATTTTTTTAATTTTATTTTTTTGGTCTTTTTGAGACAGGCTCTCCCTGTAGCCCCAGCTGTCCTGAAACTCACTATGTAGACCAGGCTAGCCTTGAACTCACAGAGATCCGCCTACCTCTGCCTCCCTAGTGCTGGGATTAAAGGTGTGCTCCACCACGCCCGGCTACAATAACAATTTTTAAAAGTATAGACCCAAGTTCCCTCCAGTTTAAGCTCCCATACATCTCACTTTCAAGGCAGTCATTACTTTTGTCATTGCTTTCTAATTAATACCTATATTCCTCCTGAAATTGTAAGCTCTATATGAACCCTACCTGACTCCAGGTTCTTAGGGAGAAAAAAAACAAAAAAAGAAAAAGGGTAGATGTTCAAAACCTATTTATTATACTGAATTGAAATTTAAATACCCTTTTTTTTTCTTTTGGTCTTTTTTTGAGACAGGGTCTCCCTGTAGCCCCAGCTGGCCTGGAACTCATGGTGAAATTTAAATACTTTTAAAAAATTCAGTTTCTGATGGTAGTATTTACTTTGTAATCTTAACACAATATAGAGTTCAGAATACAACATAATGTCATTAATGTTAGAATTTAAGGTTGCTATGCTGCACCTGGTGGCTCTTACCTGTAATCCAAGTACTTGGGAGGTAGAGGAAGGAAAAGTGCAAGTTCAGGGCCAGCCTGATCTACCCAGTGAGTTCTAGATCATCCAGGTCTGTATAAGGAGACCCTGCCTCAAAATAACACAACAACAAAAAAAGAAACAACAAAACTTAGGGTTGCTAACATTTATTTTGTGAAAGTACTTTAAAATCAATTATGTTTGGCTAGGGATGTAGCTCACAAGGTAGCATGCTTGCACAAAGTCCAGGGTTCAATCCCTAGCAGTACATAAACCAGACATAATGGTGCACACATGGAATCCAAGCATTCAGGACATGGAAGTAGGAGAATTATAAATTATCATAAGTTCAAGGCTCTGTCTCAAATATACATATGTACATGTATATGTATGGCTAGGATGCAGCTAATGGCCTAGTATGTGTGAGACCCTGGGTTCAATTCCCAAGGTTATTTAAAAAAAGCATATATGAAAAATACAGCCAGGTGTAGTGGCATATGCCTTTAATCCCAGCACTCAGGAGGCAGAGATAGGCAGATCTCTCTGAGATGGAGGCCAGTCTGGTCTACATAGTGAGTGCCAAGCCAGCTGGGGCTATAGGGAGACCCTTTCTCAAAAAGACCAAAAATAAGTAATTTTAAAAAGCATATATGAAAAATATGTAAGTACAAACTTTTTTCTTGACATTATTCCCTTAACAATACAGAATAATGACTATTTATGTTATATTAAAAGTAATCAGAGGTGACTCAGTATATAGAAGGATTTGTATAGACAGACCACTACTACCCCACTTAAGATACTTGCGCATCCAGAGTTTGGGCATCAGGGTGGTGTGTCCTATAATTAAACTCCCAAGGACACCAAAGGAAGATTGTATTTAAATGTTCTAGATGAGGAAGTATTTATTATAAGGGAAATATTTTCAAATAGTACAGTGTGTGTTTCTTGATTTGTCAGTTTGGAGCTCAACAGGGACATGCAAAACAGGGTTTAAATATTTTCTTTTTCTTGGTTTTGTGCTGACAGTTTTGCTCTGTGAGGTTTTGGGATAAAGAGAAGATAAGGAACAGCAACCACTCTGCATCCATTGCTTCTCCCCTCAGACCAGGCCAGGAAGAAAGCAGGCCAAGTGCTGGAGGCCAACAGCCACTCATGGAGGGGTCCCTGTATTGGTCAGGGTGATGTCTCCCAGTGCTAAAGCATGCTCATGAGGGTACTCTCCAGCACAGAGGACAGCAGGATTTCACTGTCAGAGTGAAGCTGCTTTGGTCTGGGAGTGTTGATCATAATAGGCCCTGCAGGGGCCTTTCTCTCCCAGGAGACAGGATGCTGGGCTCTGACCTGACAGAAGGAGGGAAACATGAGGCAGAGGGATGGCTGCCAGTGGCATTTTTCTGACCTGGGAATCAGGACCTGATTGAGACCCCAGCTCCATTCCAAAGTTTATTGACTACTCACTACAGGCCCTTAGGCAGAAGCCCCTTTCCTGGAGCTAACATTCAACCTGTAACAGGCATTGTGAGCCTTGAAATGGAGGATGAGAGCCCCATGAAATGATGTGCTATACAAATGTAAATTTTCAGCGTTGGTTTGCCCAGTCAGACAGTATCCCAGGTGTTGGGGAGCCAGAGATAAGGACAAGCCCCTACCCTCAAGGCCCTCTCAGTCCAATGGGGAAGGCAACAGCCCAGCAAGAACAGCAGGAATGAAAAGAAGCCATGTGTGGGAAGCTACCCAGACAAGTCAGGCAGGAGAGTCTCAAAGGAAGGGTTACCCCATAAAGACATAAAGGGTGGTGTTGGGATCTCAATACCATCAATACAGCCAGGCTGCCTGGGAAGAGCCTCAGTGGGATGAGGCATTGGGAGGTGATGAGACAATGGGGGGCTGAGGTTTTAGGGAGAGAGCTGCCATTATCTTCTGTGAAGGTCACAGTGCAGAGCACTGGCTGGTTCTGAAGGGGCCGTCAACTGACCTCAGCTCAGGCAGAGGCTGCTGGTCCTTAAAACTAAGTAGTGAGGCCTGGAGGAGACCAGAAGACCTCTGTGATATTAGGTAAACAAGGTGTGTGTGTGTGTGTGTGTGTGTGTGTGTGTGTGTGTATACATGTGTATGTATGCATGTCTGTGTACATACATGTGTATGTATGTATGCCTCCATGTGTGTCTGTGTGTGTCCATGTGTATCTGTGTATGTGTGTGTGTGTTTGTGTAAGGGACACTATCCCAGAGAGGCATCAAAACAAAGATGGCACTGACCAGCAAGAGGGAGCCAGGAAGCCATCTGGAGCACCAGTCACCTGTCTAGAACTGTGCCTGGGGAGGCATGCTCTCCTCTCCAGGCTCATTCACCACCCTCACTGCTGTGACCCCATAGACTGATCTAAGTGAAAGAGCAGTCCCCTACTCCCTCCACCAGCCTCCCCGAACTCTTACCCCACCATCCAGATACCATAAGATGATGGCACAGAACACAAAGGTCAGCCTAGGGGTAGCGGGGGACAACACTGGACCCACAGGTAGCACAGTTGGGTTGGGGGTACAAGGAGCATGTGATGTGGCAGAGGGACTGTGTGTTCTGGAAGAAGGCCTCACCTGGCACCTACCTCTGCAGTGCTGGGGTCAGATGGTATTTTCTTGTCAGCACCATGAGCTTTAGTGGTCACTTTTCTCCCCTGGTGCCTGGAAAGGGAGCAATTGAGACCCAGGAAGCAGCTCTGCAAGCTAGAAATAGCTCTAAGATATGTGGCAGCCATGAAAGGAACTGGTCTGTGATAGACCTTCCTGCCTTGGTCACCACCTGAATAGTTCCTTTGCTACAACTCTGTGTGGGTGGCTGGATACATACCTGAGCCCTGGGGTGCTTGAAGCACTGCAGAGAAGGCTGGGTCAGGAGACCAGTAGCTCTGTCAAGCTCACCTGGACTTGCTAGAGGTTTCCTGACCACCCCATCCAATCAATCCTTTGCTTTTTATAGGGAATCTCTCTTTCAAGGGCCACTGAGTGTTCTCCACCATAGGCAGCACTGGGCTTGGAGCAGGTGCCAAGGCCACAGCTATCACTGAGGGCCTCACTTGCATACAATATGGCAGAGCACTGAATCAAGCCTCCTGGTTACCAGGCCAGGAGGATGCAGGGTGACAGCCACCCCTCTTCATACTTTCCTCTTACAGACACTTCAGAGCTCAATATCCTGCCTCCCAGGAGAAAGCTTCCCAAGCAGGGCACAGTATCCTCATCCCTCTTCTGCCCAACAGGAAACATCAGCCTTGCTCTGCCAGTGAAATGCAATTGCCTTCTGTACTGAAGTAAACTGTTAGTGCTTGATGTTCCCTGCTCTGCTGAAGCAGTGGCAGATGTCACTCTTCCTAGTGGGCTCCTGCCAGCTCCATGGCTGGTTATCAGCCTCAAGGTCCATTCCTGCTCCAAGATTCTGTGAACCAAGGTGCTAACCACACCCTGACCCCCCGAGTCTGATTATTTTGCCCTTGCTGTTGGTGTTCTGAACTTGGTCTTCTGTTTTGTCTTCCTGCCTAGATAATAAATTCAAGGCCAGGGACTCATTGACCAAATAACAGAAGGAAAAGGCAGGCTTTTGGGGCTTGCATCATCTGATTCTCATTAAAACTCTCCTAGTTCCAGGCAGTAATCCCCAGCCCCCTCAACAAGTTTATCAACAGCCTTGACGTACATACAGGGTGTAACCTCATTACTGGGGAGGGAAGGAGGAAGTGGCATCTAAACCCTCCACAGACTATTTCCGGAAAGGTTTTGAATTTGATCTTTGGGGGGGAGGAGCTGGGAGAAGAACTTGCCCAAAAGGAGAGTTGGGGAGAGAAGAACATGGCCGCAGAAAAGGAAGGAGTCCACAGAGAAACTCAGGACAAGGACATCAGTCATGGACCGCACAGGGGAGGTGGGGGAAGCTCTGCCCCTAACAAGGGCTGTTACTCACCACCTGTGGTGACATTCTGAAACTCTCCACCCTTCCCAGGACTTCCCCACCAGCTCTGCCCACCTACCTTCATGGTCACCAGCTTCCCCAGGCTATACCATCATTCTTTACTGATAAGAAAGTACTTTATTATCATATGAGGAATAAAGCAGTACAAAATATATCTTATACTTGATCTTAGCCAAAAGGCCAAGAAACTACAAAATACATTTTAGAAAAACCCCTTGGAGATAAAAATCCAGTCCGTACCACCCCACGCCCTGCCCACCAGTGCCTCCCTCCTCAGGTGCTTGCTCTCAGCCACTCAGGGTCTCTAGACCTTCTGTAGGAGCCCAAGTAAGGGGTCATCGGTCCTGAGGGCGAAAGTGAGAGTACGCTGCTGGTAATGCTTGGGGTCATACTCCAGATTCTCGATCACCTCAGCCAGCAGGTGCGCCCGCTCCACACCTGAGCCAGGGGCCTCGAAGCCCAGGGCAGTGAAGTGCACATGCAGGTGGTAATAAGAGGGCAGATAGTGCAGGTACACGCGCAGGCGGTCTCCAGCCACCTGGTAGCGCTGCAGGATAGCTTCCTGGTGAGGAAAGGGAGCAGTAGAAAGTCATCAGCCAAGGGTCTCCTCCACCTCCCACCTGGACCCTCCTCCTACCTTAACTAGGGCTGACCTGGGAGTTTATAAAACTCTCCAATCCAGACTCTCTGCCCCAGCTACCTTAGATCCCTGTCTTCCCTCTAAGAAATCAGCAAATGCAGTAACAGCAAAGCTGACACATTTCCCCTACAGACGGATGCCATGGCCACCATTAGGATTCCCCACCCCAACCCGGATAAAACACAGGCTTCCTTTAGGAGTCTAGAAAGTTCTACCTCCTAAGGTCAGGTCCCGAGTCCCAAGACTGTAGAGACTGTCCTTCCCCCAGATGACCTACAGCAATCCTGCAGCAGGTGGGAGGAACTCTCCCTCTCCTGGAAGGAGGCTTAGTAACACTGGAGAGGGGGCTGTGCTAAGAACTTGGTGAAAGAGAAAGGCTGGAGGAAGGGACCTGGTGAAGGGCTCTAAGATCTCAGCAGGGCCCCTTGCAGAAGGGGAAAGCATTTACACTGGTCCTGATTCACTTTTCCCACATCTATCTTGCTCAGAGGGAGAGGTCTCTATTTACCCCCCATAGCTCCTTCAGAGGAGAAAAAGACTCAGGTTTCAATGGGCTCAGAACTCAACCTCAAATCATATTCTGCTTTTGGTGCTTCTGCAGGAGAATCACAGCAGCAGGATGAGAACAGGTTCAAAGGAAGCAGGGGGCTTCGTGGGATAAGCAGAGCTGACAGCTAGAGCAAGGCTGCCCAAGCTGGCAGGCCAAGAAAGTGGGGCTCTCATTTTCTCCTCGAGAGAAAGACACCCTTTTATGCCATTGGTAATATCCAAAGGCTACTTCCTAAGAGAAATGAGTGGTTCTAAGAGGGTAAAGGCAGACAGAGAAGGGTGTCATGGAGAGGGGGCACTTAGGGCACAGGGGCAGGAGAAGTAGTATCCAAGCAGCACCCTAGTACTGGTCTAAAAGGGGCAGAGCTCTTCCTGGGCACCTTTGTGACTACTAGCCCCTGATAAGATGGGTATCTTCACACATTCCAGAGAAAAGGCTGAGACTCAGCTTGTAGAAATGTGGATTTAGAAGGGACCTCAACCAGATCCTGTGGTCCAGAGGTAGTGACCTGCCCCAAGCCTTTGGATAATTAGGAGCCAAACATCATGCCAGGACCACAACTCAAGCCTCTAGCCACCCTTTCTCCCACACTTTCCTGCCCCCAAGACTCCTTTCCCTATCCCTATAATGTCCCAAACAGAAAGCACCTCAGCACATCAGGAAGCACAGAATTTAGCCTGCCTTCAGCCTAAGTGAGAAGGCATTTGTACAAGTCAAAGTTATGGGACCAATAGCCAAAAAACTCGTCTGGCAGGAGGCAGCTGTCATGAACAAGGCAGGTGATCCTGGGGTAGGAGGGACATGAGTCTATGGGGTGAAGGGACATCCCAGATGGAACTTGCAGAGAAAGGCAGGGGAAGGCAAGTGTGGGGGCAAAGTGTCTGAAAGTAGAACAGGAGTATCAGGCAGGACCAGGGACAAAGAGTCTTGGGAATCAATGAGAACAGTGGCCCAGAGAACACACTGGAATCTGGTAGAAGCCTGGGCTTCAGCATTGGGAAGCAACTCACTTGTCCTTCCCGGAGGATGTTCCTCAGCAATGGCAGGTGCTCTGGAGTAAGGTCTCGAAGTGATCTGATGCCCCGACGATGGCAGATGGCAATCAAGTATAGGTCATCAAGCTGCACAGAGATCAAAAGGGAACAGGGCAATGCTAAGCTCAGTAGGGAGGCTGCCAGCCTGGGAACTCATCCCCAAGGCCTAATGTACCCCCACAGTCACTTGGAGAGTCCTCATAATAGGACCAATCTCCAGGTACTGCAGATATCTAAAGAAACCCCAGGTCCCAAACCCAATCGATCATCATCTGGGAATTTGTATATACTCTACAGAGCTGATAAGGAGGGAGATGGGGATGATCAGAAAGAGGCAACCACAAGTCTTTTCCCTCAAGAGTTTATCATCTAACCCATGTTACATAAGTCACTCGACTATATGAAATGAAGACTATATATCTGGCTGTGGTGCTGGAGATGGAACCCAGGGTCATGTGCATGCTCAGCACAAGCTCTACCACTTCCTCTAAACATAAAGTGATCAACACAAGAGGAAGGAGACTCCAATTAGCTGAGTGATTCAAGAAGTCCTCCTAGAGAAGGCAAGGGATCTGGATCTAAAGAGATAAGGGAACTGTGAGAACAAAGGCTCAGAGAGGGTGGCAGCTCAGTTTATGTGGAGTCAAAGGTACATGCAGGGGCATGGAGGATGCAAAGGGGGAAAGGGATCTTGAGGTTCACTCAGCAGCATGTGCCACCATAACGGTCAGCTATTTCTTTCTTCCCCTATCTCAACGGTTCACAGGCAGCCCTTCCTGTAGTCCTTCCTGTGAATGGCGCCTGGCGGAAAACCTGGAGATCACAACAGAGCAAAGAACCAGTGTCAATATGATCTTGTGCCAGATAGCAAATGAACTCTTCCTCCTGCCCAAAAACCCATCGTACACCACCCTTGCTCCCCAGTCCTGGCCTTGCCTGGTTATCACACCCAGGTGCCAGCCATGTCAAGGCTGGGGAGCCAAGTCTCGAGGAGAATCCAATGGCCCCCAGCCCTGTGGTCTGACTTGTTGAATTCCTCATGGAGATAATCTGGGGACCATGAGTCACCCAGCCAAATTCCCAAGGGCCCAAACTTAAGACCTGGTAACGAAAGCAACCATACAGCACCTGGTGTCCAGGTGTGTCAGTCTCTTCGTGGCAGTCATTCTTCCTGCTGGAGTTCTAAGAATCTAGACTCTGCCCCAGAGCTGCTGCACATGCGCCCATGAGAAACTCACAGCATATGTCTGAGCTGTGCCCATCAGGCCTCCCTTTTATGACAAACCCCATCTGGACTCTCCTTTCATGCCCTATGCTCAGGAAATGTACTCTCACATTGGTGAGGAGGTCAAGGGGAAACCAGAAAACACAAGTGCTTGAATCGGTGTGTACATTCAGCTGTGTGATGTGTCACTGTCACAGGATACCCGAATAATAACAGCATTTGTTTTAGATGATGTCTGTAGACAAATCCCAAACATGAATAGTGTCTCTCTGCTCCACTGGCACAGAATGAGGCATGGAGCCTGGTGCTGGGTGTCAGCTCAGAGGCTGGGTAAGGGAAGGAGAAAAAAAAAACATTCTTTGATGTCAGGCATGACCGAAGGTTTTCTGCAGGCAGCCAAAGATCCTCCTAGCATAGAGAAATGAGCTGAAAAAAGCTAGACAAGGCAGATAAGAGTTTGAGATTGATACTCCAGAAGGTGGCTCATCAGTCAGGACAGATAAACCAAAGTAAGTTTTCTGGCAAGGGGCAAGACCAGGAATGGCCAGAGTGTCAGAGAGACATAGCTCAACTCCTGGAGTGATTCAAAGGAAGTATTTCTGGTCTGAGAACTTTACGCCAAAGAGCTTAAACTGTGGAGTGAAAATGTATGTGTTCACACACATTTAGATTCACAATGTACAAAGATCACCTCTGGAAGGTAAAATAAAGAGGTAACAATGATGGTTTCTGGAGAAGGGAAGTTGAGGACTGTGGGCTGACAGAACTCACTCTTCCTGCATGTCCTTTGTACTTTATGAGTTTCAACCATGGGCTTGCAGTAACAACAAACAAAAGAATCACTAATGACCATATAGGCCCTATCTCTTAATAGAACCAAAGATGTCAGGTATGGTGGCGCATGTATTGGGAAGGTTGAGGATCACAAGTTTGAGGCTAGCCTGGTCTATATAGCAAGACCTTATCTCAACAAAACAAAGCAAGAACAAGAGTGAGAGAGAGGGAAAGAATGAAAGCAAGAGAGACATTCAGGGGCACCAGTCTGAAGATGAAAAATCTCTACTTCCAGGGCTAGAGGTCCTGAAAGAGCTCAGGGGTAGAGTACTTGTCTAACATATTTGAGGACCTAGGTTTGATCCTCAGCAGAAAGTGGGGGTGAGGAAAGAGAGGGAGGCAGATATATTTCCAGGAAAGGTGGCAAAGAGGACTCAAGGGTACTAGGAAGGCTCCTCAAAGCCAATGCTTATCTCCCTGTCCTTGATCATCCCTTGACCCTTACCCCAGTACAAGGATCAGAAGCTCAAATATGGCCTGTCTTCCTTCTGGGTACACTGCCAACTTCTAAAGGGGCAGTCAAGTTCACTGCTGTCAGAAGTAAAAAATTTTAAGCACTGAATGAAACTGACACCATTAAAAGACAAATAAAAATTAAGCAAAGTTTAGGAAGGACCAACCTTCACTAACAGGCAAGGTCTGACATTTAAGCTGGCCCCTTCATTACCCCTGGGGGTAATGAGGTCCAGCCATGTAGCTGGGGCTCATTGCAGTTCCCAGAGCCTTTCCTGTTTTGTTTTGTTTTTTGTTTTGTTTTGAGACAGAGTCTCACTATGTAGCTCCAGCTGTTCTGGAACTCACCATGTAGACCAGCCTTAATCTCATAGAGATTCCCCCGTCTCTGCCTCCCAAGTGCTAGGATTGAAGGTGTGCACCACCACGTCTGGTCCTTTGTCGTCTTAAAAAGGACATTGGGTGGGCTGCTCCACCAGTAGGCGAGGCAGATATCTTTCAGCCTTGGGTCAGATGGGTGATAATTTCTCATGCCATGGGCTCAAGTGCATTCAGGACTTCTGGAATGGAGTCCATCTTTACTGTCTCTCTGTGGTTCCTGGGTTGTAATCTCCCTGTAGTCACAATGCAGTCACAAGCTCTTCAGACTTCACAAGTCTCTTTCTGTCCATACCTAGCTCCCAAGACCAGACTTGAACCCAGAATTTCAAAGTACATAGCTGCCTGAGGGGACTCGGGACTTTGCAGAGCTACCACATAGGTACGATTCCAGAACATGATCCTAGCCAGTCCCAGTTCCCTCCCTTTGAAGCCTGAAGGTGGCCCAGGCAGAGATGAGCTGCAGAGCACAAGGAGAGTAGATATAGGCATTCCAGAGCCTCTCTCACTACAGTACCTCACACACACACACAGAGCCATCTTCTTCCATTATACTTGGCTGTGGTAAGTCATCACTCCACACTGCAACTTCTGGAAACTTCCTTTCACTTCCCTGATACCCTGAGCCATGTTCAAAGAAGGCCCATGAGCTTCTTGTCAAGAAGTGAAAGACACTCACTGGTCTATCTGTCTCTGAACCAAAGTCTTGCCCTTCCACCTCAACCATAATCCTTCTTTGGTCCCTTCTGGGTCAGTAGAAGAGTGGTATGGCAATTTTAGAAACCACCAAATAAAAGCTAGGCAAAGTTCAGGTCATCTCAGTGTAGAACTATAAGCCTCAAAAAGCAGACTACAACTGAGAAAGAAAGGGAGGGTATGTATGCAGAAGCAGTTGGGGTCTAGGCTCCAGAACATCTCTGCAGGAGTCTTATGAGCAGGGGAGGACTCACCTATGTCAGAAAGCAGATCCAAGCCTGGTTTACCCCAAGGATGTCACTCTCCTGTACTAGACTCCCTGGCCCCTCCACAGCTCTAGCCTGTGACCAGCACTCTAATATGGTGAGACTCTGCCTGTTCCTGAACTCTCAAGGTATTAAAAAGTTGATGGTAAGCTATAACTTTGTGGTAGGCTGGCACAGGATGGAGCAATATAGAAAGAGGAGAGGGAGACCCTGGAGATATTTGTGAATGCAGATGGCACCTCTAAATCTCCTTTGAAGATCTGTAGAAGCAGAAGGACTTGGAGACCAGGGAAAGGGGAGCTAAGAGCTGGAGTGGATGAAGGTTTAAGCTATTAGAAACTGACCCTATAGGTTGGGTTCACAGGGGATTCCTTGGTTGATTGCCATGGTTCCTGCCTGCTGGTGCTTTAGAACATGCCTGCCTGGATCTGCTGGTTTCAAGGGGGACACAGAGAATGTAAACACTTCATACCTTGGGCTCCAAGAGCTGTGGGTCATAAAGCAGGCAGCCCAAGCCACCTGGCTAGTGCATGGATGGCCTGTAGTCATGGAGGCAAACATCTCCCCATGTCACCTTTGGGGTGAGAGCAGGACTAGAAAGGGCTTTGAGCTGACCCACAGAAGCAGAAGTGGCTATGTACCGCAGCTAAGCACTGTTAGCTGAAGAGCTCAGGCCACCCATCTGGGTAATGGTAATCTGCTCAGATAATTGTAATCAGCTGCCTTGAGGAAAGAGTGCAGCCAAAGACAGACCAGCAGGGTGGGAGCAGGTGATGACACCAGAGCAGAGCACTCCAGCACTTGGTCTTTACCTGCTGCTGGTTCCACTTGAGGTCGGGGATGAGGACAAAGCCATCAGAAGGATCTGGGTTCTCAAAAACAATCCGGTCAGCTTCAGCCTTCTTGTCAAGAATGTTATACACCCACTGGAAGGAGAGAGAAAGACTGAGAATCTACTTGCACCAACTGGGTCCTTCCAGCAAAGACGGTGCAGCTATAAAAGGCAATAAGCTCAGAATGAACAGTCAGGCTGGCTATTCCCCAGCATCTACTTGGGGGTCTAGAAGCTTCTTTACTCCCACCACAGCAGACTTTTGGTCATCACTGCCAATATACAGGACTCTGCAACTCAGATGAGGCCAGGCCCTTTACACTTCTCTTTGTAAACCCAGACACCTTCCCATCCCAGTACTGACCCCTCCCTCCATGGTCCACAGAGACAGAGGAAAAACTTTCTCCATGGACCCACTCAAGGAAGCCAAGGGCACAGAAGTTTACATATGTAAAGGAAGCCAGATACCCAGAAGCACAGTGAAAGTCTTTGGGTTCTACAGGCCAATATGTGTGGGAGAATTGCTACCTGGAGCTGCTGCAGATACCATATCAGCAGGCTTCACTAACAGGCCCCACAGGGCAAAGTGGAATGCAAGGGCATGCAGACACAGGGGATTCAACGACACTCTCACAGCAACCCAGGGTTTCCAGCCTTCTTACTGCCTTCTGATCAACTGTTGATAGTTTTTGGAGGACCCTTCTCTAGTCCTGAATGGACCCCCAAGAACATCTTGTGGGCCTTTGTGAGGAAGCCATACTGTAGGGAGGTTAGGGTGAGAAACTCCTGAACTTGCAGTGCTCAAGCCCAGGTGCTGCTAGTCTCTCCCTCCCCGTAGCTTCAATAGCCCTTGGCACCCAGGAGTGCCCTACATCCAAGATAAACCTGCTGCAAATAGGACATGGAGTATCTGGGGCAACCTTGCTGCCCTTTCTTCCTCACAGTCAGAAGGACCCCCAAGGCTCTGATAGGGAGGCAGTCCTGACAGTCCTCTTCCTACTCTAAGAAGTCCTGGCACAGGCAGCATGCCCAAAGGTCAAAGGTAGGGGGCTGGCCTGGGGTCTGCATATCCACTGTATACCCTAAACCTGGAGGGATAAGCACAAATACCCAAGTATCCAGTTAGGATAGTGGCAGGGGGCAGAGGACATCTCCTGAGGATACCTTGGCTTCTTGGGCTCTTACAATTACCTGAGGAGGTACTTCAGCTCAAAGGGCTTGCAGACCCCACAACTAGATCTTCAGGCCAGCCCCAATGTGGTCAAAGGACCTCCACAGGACACGCCTGGATGAGCGACTTCCTTGGAGGAAGGGGTGGAAAACATTTGGGAGCAGCTTCCTCACAAAGCACCCATGGCTGACTCACACACAAGTTAGATTCTTCCAGAGGTATTTCTTCTGCTACCAGAGGCCTTTGGGGGAATATGCTGCTGAAGGAAAAAGCTCTCAGCAAAGCTGACCCAAAGCCTTCTAGAAACAGGAAAAAGGGAGAGGACAACTTTTACCATGCAGAGTCCTGGTACACCTCACAGCTGGCCTTCAGGGTTGTCCAGAGTCACACTGCCTCATAGTTGACAGCAATACTTGGTACCCAAAGCAGGAATGGGTTCTGGTGCATGAGGAATTTTGGTTTCATCTTCTCAGCTACACCACTGACTTGCTTCCCACCCTGGGCAAGCAACTGAATCCTCCTTCCAAAACAGCCTAGTAAGATCTACACACAAGGCTTATGGGGAGGATTTTAACCAAGACATACATGAGAAAGCACTAGCCCAGAGCCCACATGGAGGAGGCACTCAAGAAACAGCAACAGGGCAGAGGTGATGACAATGGACAGTTTAATGGAGGCTATAGGACCAAGTAGGAGAAGAGAACAGTGGGGGAAGGGGGGCTGGAGGCCAAGTGCCTGCCAGGCATGTGTGAGGACAGCCAGAGTTACCCCACACTTGCCATTGCTCTAAGGGCCACAGCACCTTGTTATCATCATCCCCAGTTTGCGGGTAAAGAAAATGCAGGAAATTCACATAAGCTTAGGAATCTGGGCATAGCACATCCTGCCTCCTGGGAAAGGCTGATCCAAGGACAGAAACCTGCATCCACAGGAAGCTTCATGGCCAGCAGCCCAGAGAAGAACAGAAAAAGGGAACAGAATTTACACAAACACAGGGTCAGGGAATGGAAGGGCTGCCCTCTGAAAGCCAGCCCTGCTGGGGGATACTTTCTAGAATCCACTGGGCTATACTGTGCTGCTGGTGATTCTGGCAACAACTTGTAAGTTCTCTTTCTTTCCTCCTTGGATCTCCCAAGGGACATCTGACCATTTTTCATTCTCCCCAACGTCCACTCTGCCCTGCTCCTCTGGCCATGCTTGACCTATCCATACTTCCCAGGTATCTGCTCCTTCCCACCTGTTCCTCTGATCTAGCTGGGTATGGATAATGGCATCTCTACTCGGGATCCTTTTTTGCCCAGGCAGCAGCAGCAGAAGACATGATAAACTAGATCCCTATCTGTTTTCATAATCCTAATGGGAGAAGTTGTGAGTCACAATTTCCAGACAAGGAGACCTGGGCTCAGGGGTTAAGGACAATGCCCCATTGCTCTTGGCCAACAGAATGAGACTCCAAACACCAGTGAATGCTGAGGCTGGGTCTGATGGCTTACAAATGGACATTTTCAGCCAGATCGTCTTGAAGGCTTCAGGATCAGACATACCACTGGCATTTTTTTCTTTTACTGGACATTTTTACTGGGAAGTTGTAAGTACCTCAAAATTGAGGAATGAAACAGTCACTGGCTAAGAACACAGACTGTGAAGATTAACTGAGGTAATGCATGTAAAATGCCTACAACCGTTCCCAGCATGCACTCAATAACCCCAGACTGAACATGCTGTCTTCCACATAAGCCCACTCTGCTACCCACATCCTGTCCTGGTTAGTTAAAGAGTCACTGTCCACTCTTTACTTCAGCAAGACCAGTTCATTCCACACACTTTCCTGTCAAAATCGACAAATCCCTACCCTGGCTGGGGCTTACCTCCTAAGCTGCTCCTGTCCTTCCCTGCTCTCTACCTGGTTCAGATCCAGTCTGGGATTAAAGGTGTGTGCCACCATGCACAGTTTCTAGCTTTCCTGCTCCATTTGCACCTGTTAAAATTTGGCCATACTACCCATGTGCTTAAAACCATATAGGGGACCCTCACTGCCTATGGCAATCATTCTCAGATTTGATGACCATTAGAAATATCACAGATTTCTGTGATGGTTCAGTGGATAAAGCACCTACCACATAAGCCTGAAGAACAGAGTTCAGATCCCCAACAACCACATGAAAAATTCAATTATAATCTCAGTGCTGGGAAAACAGAACTAGGGGATCTCCTGGGAAAGCTGATTTAGCTGGGTTTGCTAAATCAGCAAGCTTCCAGTTCAGGGACAGACCCTGTCTCAATAAATAAAGTGGACAGTGATCTAGGAAGACACCCAACATTAACCTCAGGCCTCCACACGTACCCGTGCACATGCCAAAAAAAAAAAAAAAAAAAAAAA